AGGCTGGGCCTGGCATGGGGGATTTTGCACAGGGATTTTCTGCCTGCGGGTGAGGAGGACACGAGCCCCCTCTGCAGCACAAGCACCTCAGGTGGTTCTGCTTCTCCAAAGCCTGGGACAAACAAACGGTGCTGCTTGCTGCTTCAGACCTCTCTTGATTTGTCCGTTGTGAAGTTATCTGTCAGGGCTGGGCTCTGGGGGGGTTCTTTGAGTGGTTTTGGTTTGTTTTGTGTTTTTAAGTCGGGCCTTATTGCTATTCCATTGTCAATAGTGTGTAGCAGAAAAAGCTGAGATTTAACAGAACTAAAACTCTTTGGAGCCTCAACAGCAGGCTGTGTGTTGTGGCTGATGTACTTTCACAGTCCCTTTCTTTCCAGTTTTTCCAGTATGGCCTGAATTCTGTGGACGGACTCTTTCCTGGCCTGTCGAACAGTGTCCTGGCCTCCAGTCTCGATGGAATCCAGTTCCAACAGCAGCTTGGTCAACAACTCCTCCAGAAGCCGGTAGGATTTATCTGTCTTTCTTCCTACAAACTCATCCACCTCTTGCTCCAGCTGTTCAGCCTGCCCCAAGACGTGGAGGATCCTCTGGATCTCTGGCTGGGTGGCTGTGGGGTTTGTTGGAGGCTGGTCGCCAGGTCTGAAGCCGAGCTCCCGGCTCCCCGGCAGCAGCTTCCGCGGGGCCGTGTCGTACAGCTGGGGCTGTGCACTGTACTGCACCCTGGGGGCTGAGCCTGGGGGCCTGGCCTTGGCTGACCCCTGCCCACCGGCCGGCCCAGAGTGCTGGTGGTCGCAGTAGTAGCTGTGTTGGTTGGCACTTTGCTCGGGCTTGTCGTAAGCAGCATCCTGCAGTCAGGAGGAGGAAAAGAACTTTAAGCAAGCGCATTTCCCTTCAAGCCAAGGGCTTCACCTCTCACCCTGCAGGGCTGAGGGAAGGGGGCAGCAGGTGGGTGACCCCGGGACTGCTTTGAGGTGTGTGTGCCTGGGAGGACAGGGCAAAGCAGAGCAGGCAGGCTGGGTCAGGCATGGTGTTACCAGGGATCTGGCAGCATTTTTGAGACTGTCACGCACCGTGACATCATAACACATCATGTCCCCAGGGGCAGGGACCCTGTGTCCTGCCAGGTGGGCTGTTTCTGTGAGAAGTCCCATAGAGAGACATGGAACCTCTGGAGAGTCATGATCAAACCCAGAGAAGGCTGGGATGAGCAGCCCCCACCAAATGCATCATTTCCTCCTAGTTTTTGCTTGAAACGTTCCTCCGTAGAGGATGACTCTGCCCAAACCAAGCACCTGCAGAGCAATACTTGAGTCTGCCACACCATGGTCTGCAGATGGGCCTGCAGGTTAGTCCTGCTCTGTGCTGGAGGATTTCTGCTTGAGAGAGAAGAGCTGCACAAGCAGGACAAGGTCTGACCCATCTCAAGACCTGCCCTGGGTCATCTGCTACCTCCAGCACCTTTCTGGAATCACAGCCATGGATTTTGGTCTTCTGTATGCAAACAGATTTTGCTGGATATCTGCTGCTTTGTTTCTACCTAAAACAAACAGTGTTTGGAGAAAGTCCCATTCCCAGGAGACAGGGAGGGTTGGAGGAGGGCTGGGTGCAGCCAGGAGCC